TATATTGCTGCATATGGCAGGATTTCCTTTTAAAAGTTGAATAATATTCCACTTTGTGTGTGTTTTCTATATCCACACATCCTCTGATGGATGTATTGTTTCTACATTTGGGCTATTGTGAACAATGGTATAGTACACATGGGAGTGAAAAATATTTTTGAGATCTTCATTTCAAATCTTTCAAATAAATACCCAGAAATGGGATTGCTGGATCATTTGGTAGTTGTAGTCTTCGCCTTTTGAGGACCTCCATTTGACTTTCCCTAGTGACTGCATCATTTTATATTCCCACCAACATACTTGTTGTTTTGCTGTTGAGTTTCTGGAGTTCCTTGTTTGTTTTGGAAGTTAATCATTTGTCAGATATATGGTTGGTAAACCTCTTTCTCCACAGGTTACCTTTTCACTCCTGATTGTTTCCTTTGTTCTACAGTACTGTTATTAATTTGAGGTACTCCCACTTGTCTGTTTTTGCTTATATTATTGTTTTTCTAGTGTCATAACCAAGAAATAATTGCCAAGGCCATGTCATAAAGCTTTCTCCTGTTTTGTCTTATGGCTTTGCAGTTCTTGGTCTTACATTTACTGTGCCTTTAATCTATTTTGAGTAGAGTTTTGCTTATGGTGCCCAACAGAGTCCAATATACAGTTTTCCCCACACCAATTATTGCAGAGATCATCCTTTCCCTGTGATATATTCTGGGCACTCTTGTGGAACATCGGTTGCCTGGTATATGTGTGGATTTATTTTTGTTTTTTATTCTGTTTCTTTTGTTGATATGTTTATCTTCATGCTCATACCATTATCTTTCAATTACTGAAACTTTATAATATATTTTGAAAACAAGATATATGATGTCTCCAGCTCTCTTCTTTTTTTCTCAAGATTGCTTTGGCTATATAGGATCTTCTATGGTTCTATATGAAATTTCGGGCTATTTTCTATTTCAGTAAAAAATGCCATAGGGATTTTGGTAATGAATGGATTGACTCTGTATATTACTTTGTATAGTATTGCCATTTTAACAGTACTATTGTACCATTCATGAACATGACATGTTTCTCTGTCTTATTTATTTTATCTTTGTTTTGGAGTTTTCTATATACTCCAAGTTTTCATGTTTTCTTACCTTCTTAGTTAAGTTTATCCTCAGTGTTTTATTCTTTGTGATGCTACTGTAAATGAGAGTGCTTTCTTAATTTCTCTGTTTGTCAGCTTTCTGTCACTGTGACAATATAATTGTGATTATCAATTTATAAGGAAGAAAGGTTTATTTGGCTCATAGTTTCATAGGTTTCATTCTATGGTCACTGGACCATAGAGAGAACCAGGCTTGTAACACATGAGCCTTGAGGGAGGATTAGGACTCCAGCTTCTTCTTTTTGCTCTCTTTGCTTCCTAGCTGCCATGAGGTGAATAGGCCTCCTTGGTCATATGCTTTCACTATGATATACTTTCTCACAATAGGCCCAAAGCAGCAGAGTCAAGCAACCCATAGACTGAAATCTCTGAAACTGTGAGCCAAAATAAATCTTCCCTTCTTATGAGTTGATTGGTATTCTGTCACACTTAGCCAGAAAGCTGACTAACACAGAAACACAACAGATTTTTTTTTGTGATGATATTTTTTATCCTACAACTTCATTACTTTTTCTCATTAATTATAGTTTTTTAAAATATTTTTATTATTGATGAGCTTTTCTTCCTTCCTTCCTTCCTTCCTTCCTTCCTTCCTTCCTTCCTTCCTTCCTTCCTTCCTTTCTT